CTCCCGAGTGCGAGGCTAACTGTTTAGGGCATACTTACAATATGACGCTTTTTGTGTACCCTCCCGAGTGCGAGGCTAACTGTTTAGGGCATACTTACAATATGACGCTTTTTGTGTACCCTCCTCTGTGCGAGGCTAACTGTTTAGGGCATACTTACAATATGACGCTTTTTGTGTACCCTCCTCTGTGCGAGGCTAACTGTTTAGGGCATACTTACAATATGACGCTTATTGTGTACCCTCCCGAGTGCGAGGCTAACTGTTTAGGGCATACTTACAATATGACGCGTTTTGTGTACCCTCCTCTGTGCGAGGCTAACTGTTTAGGGCATACTTACAATATGACGCTTTTTGTGTACCCTCCTCTGTGCGAGGCTAACTGTTTAGGGCATACTTACAATATGACGCTTTTTGTGTACCCTCCTCTGTGCGAGGCTAACTGTTTAGGGCATACTTACAATATGACGCTTTTTGTGTACCCTCCTCTGTGCGAGGCTAACTGTTTAGGGCATACTTACAATATGACGCTTTTTGTGTACCCTCCTCTGTGCGAGGCTAACTGTTTAGGGCATACTTACAATATGACGCTTATTGTGTACCCTCCCGAGTGCTAGGCTACTGTTTAGGGCATACTTACAATATGACGCTTATTGTGTACCGTCCCGATTGCTAGGCTAACTGTTTAGGGCATACTTACAATTTGACGCTTATTGTATACCCTCCTCTGTGCGAGGCTAACTGTTTAGGGCATACTTACAATATGACGCTTTTTGTGTACCCTCCTATGTGCGAGGCTAACTGTTTAGGGCATACTTACAATATGACGCTTATTGTGTACCCTCCCCTGTGCGAGGCTAACTGTTTAGGGCATACTTACTAACGCTTTTTGTGTACCCTCCTCTGTGCGAGGCTAACTTAGGGCATACTTACAATATGACGCTTTTTGTGTACCCTCCTCTGTGCGAGGCTAACTGTTTAGGGCATACTTACAATATGACGCTTATTGTGTACCGTCCCGATTGCTAGGCTAACTGTTTAGGGTATACTTACAATATGACGCTTATTGTGTACCCTCCCGAGTGCTAGGCTAACTGTTTAGGGCATACTTACAATATGACGATATTGTGTACCCTCCCGAGTGCGAGGCTAACTGTTTAGGGCATACTTACAATATGACGCTTTTTGTGTACCCTCCTCTGTGCGAGGCTAACTGTTTAGGGCATACTTACAATATGACGCTTTTTGTGTACCCTCCTCTGTGCGAGGCTAACTGTTTAGGGCATACTTACAATATGACGCTTATTGTGTACCCTCCCGAGTGCTAGGCTAACTGTTTAGGGCATACTTACAATATGACGCTTTTTGTGTACCCTCCTCTGTGCGAGGCTAACTGTTTAGGGCATACTTACAATATGACGCTTATTGTGTACCCTCCTCTGTGCGAGGCTAACTGTTTAGGGCATACTTACAATATGACGCTTATTGTGTACCCTCCCGAGTGCTAGGCTACTGTTTAGGGCATACTTACAATATGACGCTTATTGTGTACAGTCCCGATTGCTAGGCTACTGTTTAGGGCATACTTACAATATGACGCTTATTGTGTACCCTCCCGAGTGCGAGGCTAACTGTTCAGGGCATACTTACAATTTGACGCTTATTGTGTACCCTCCTCTGTGCGAGGCTAACTGTTTAGGGCATACTTACAATATGACGCTTATTGTGTACCCTCCTCTGTGCGAGGCTAACTGTTTAGGGCATACTTACAATTTGACGCTTATTGTGTACCCTCCTCTGTGCGAGGCTAACTGTTTAGGGCATACTTACAATATGACGCTTATTGTGTACCCTCCTCTGAGCGAGGCTAACTGTTTTGGGCATGTAACAAAAATAAGATATGTATTGGACCCTCCCCAGTGCTAGACTTACTGAAATGCTAGGGGAAAATTCCAACACTACCGTTGACCAAAAATAACAAAATACTGGGACTTCCTATATGATCCGAACACGAAGGAGAATTGGCTTATAAACAGCATCCTGTCCCGAAAGCTTGATGTAGGTATTTTGACCATTTTAAACGGCATGATAGCATGGAGAGATCAGTGTTGGAGGGTAGTTTGTGGAAAACAAGGTAGACACTGAACTGCTACTTTCAAGACATCTTCATTATTTATTTGTATCTGTGTTCTCTTCATTCGTGTGTGAAGTCTTTTCTCCGTCGTTTCCAAATAATGTTTTACCAATCGTCATATTTTCAATGATACACCTTTTTTTAACACCCCCCCCCCCCCGGCCCTTTTCGGTCCCGCCCCAACACCATTTCCTCCACACCCTTCCCCCATGTATATGTTTATCAACCTTTCGTTGTCTTCTTGTTTTTCTTCTTTCGTTCACTTGAAATAGATTGTCTATATCTTTAATGTTGTCTTTTTAATATATTTGATGACGAATGTATTTCTCTCTCGTTCTATGTCTTTGGTGGGGCACCAACTTTCACCAATGTATGTTAAAACTGAATCAACTTTAGAATCAAAAATACATAACTTGGTTTTTACACTGAATAAATTTAAACATGCATTTGTTCCAGGCTTTAAGAAGCTGCTGTTTCGTTGTCAATGCGTGTCATCATTTCTAAAGACAACATTACGTCTTAAATTAAATAGCTACCTCAGCAGGGTGCTAGTGATTATGGCACGTCTGTTGGAGTGGTTTATTTTTAAGTTGTCTCGGCCAATCCTTTTGGTATTGTTTCTGAAACACAGGAAGAGAGTTAAGCAATTATCTCTCCTAATTAAAGTTATGTAGTAGTAGTAATTTAAGCAAACAATATATCGTATTGCTGCTAGACGGGTCCCAGTGGACCGGAAGCTCGTGAATTCGGGTTCTGACGTAGCCGAACTTTTCTGAAAAATGACTGGCTAGCAAGTCACCCCAGGCTTAAATGGATGCCAGGTACAGTCATGGGAAGTAAAGGCGATCGGTGTGATGTTGACCACATTGCCCACCAAGTGCCGATAGGTCTAGCCTGATATGCCCAATACGCCTCAAAGCGTGAACAATAGTACGGTATTCTACGTCTCTTAACGTGTAACCCATGTGGGTTATGAGCAGGTATAGAGAGACTTTTACTATTTCGATAGTAGATTTTTACTTTTGTCAGTTTCGTTTACTTGTTTAGACTACATATATTATTTATTAAGTGCAGCATGCGTGAACAGTAAAGATAGTTTAATTTAATATATACATATATATATATATAAAATTTACCTTTATATATATATAATTAACTATAGACCATAACAATTTGAAAACCGTTTTTTTTTTTAAAACATATTTACTGTGCCTTTTTTTTTTAACATAAATTTTACCAACATCGATGCACTTATCACATCGTTTAATCAGATTTCCCAAACCTGCTGCATAGAACTGCGTGCTCTGTCTTCTAAACCACATTTTAACTTCACATTCAACTTCTGCGTTCTTCGTGAAATGTCTCTCGCCGAGGTGGGTTTTCAGTGCACCACAAACCAGGTGAGCACCCTATTGCAGCTGCTACAGAGTCAACTGTTACTCGCCTTTTATCTCTAATCCTCTCCTCTACCAGCTGCACGGATGCGTCTCTTGCAATCTCAACAGGACGACCAGATCGGACTTCATCACCAATCGTAGAGCATCCTTGAGAAAAATTCTTTACCCAGCTGTTCACCACTTTACGGGATAAATATTTGTCAGCATAAACGGGGAGCTTTTCCTTGGGAATGTCCTTTGCAGGCAGCCCTTTTGCCCAAACAACTTACAACAGCAATTTGTTCTTTGAAGGTACACTCCGTAAGTTCAGTTGCCATTTTGTTTTTGTATTGCGCATGCGCATGCATGATCTAGCGCCATCTAACGAACTGGGACATAAAGTTCGATGTTGCTGACACTCAATGACACCCTTAGAAACCACCGACTACATTTTCCTGCCATCCCATAACCATTTGTGACCTACTTATTGACTTCCCCTCGTGTGTGTGTATATATAAGTGTGCTTCATAAATATTTGTGACACTCATTTTGTGCTATCTATCTTTGTAGATATTTAAAGTGATTAAAAAAATGGCGAATGGCCAGTGGACAGAGAGCTTGCGGTACCTTATGCAATTCATTGCGTGAGCAACTACTGATCTGTTGTAATTGCTGCTCCCATTGACCATACACTGCATTCCTAGCGTCGAATTGTTTATGTTGGCATTTCTTACTGCTTCCTTACGATTTAATGTGCGTATATGCTGTTGGATGTGATAATACTGCAGACTGCGTCAGTGTTTTTTTCCCGACAAGGGACAGTGATTGAAATTCTGTGTGGTTTTCATTGTTACAGGATGGAAGCAACTATGGGTTGACCCATTTTTCATGAAGTTAAAACGGAGACTAACTGTTTATTTGGTCACTGCTCATTATTATCTGCGTTAATTGACTAGCACATTTCCGTTTTCCCAGACGATTGTGTTATATTGCGCTATGAGAAGGCATGAGAATCACAGCCTATGGCGATGGCGACGGCGACTGTAAAGACCCGTTAGCGTTAACAAGTCTTCCACAATTATAACATGGGATTTTAGGAACGTTGTTGGCACCATCTGTATTTAGTATTTTTTTTTCTTCCCTAAAACGCTTCGTTGTCATCGTTTATGCAATCAATTCTTTCTTCATTCTCATTTCCTTCCTGGTCTGCCTCCTCCAAACAACACAGCCAATGACTTTTGTCCCCCTGAGTCCACCTCAATACCTATATCATGAATGTCCCGCTTGCAAACATCTGTATGTTGTAGTAGAGTTCGGCATCGACATCTTCTACCCATCTTTAATTACCCTTCGAGTATGTTCTTAGGCCACCCTCCATTCTCTGAGTGTGACCCTACCACCTGAACTTTCGTAGACTGAACATTAGGAAAAAAAAAATACTGTTGTAACTACATGATCTTTTCAGAATCTCTGATCTATCGTCTCCTTTACAGGGCCAACAAATGGTGGACCAGTGGATCAGGTCTTGGGTCAGAGATGAGGTGGACAGGAGATGGCACCTTAATCCCCTTATCTGTCGAAATGTGGGCCAACGAGGAAGAGATGAACTCCATACAAAACGGACAACATATTGTCTTTGTGTACACGGGTAGGACATCTTTTTTTTTTTTTTTTTCAGTGTGTATTAAATTGGTGAGATATTTTCTAGACACCGTGGTGAAGGGGTTATACGCTCACCTGCGGATTAGAAGGTAATGGCTTTCAGGTCGAGCCGGTCTTAAATAGGTACCAGATATAGTCATGGGAAGTTAAGGTGACCTGCCCGATGTTGACTTAAACACCCACCGAGTGCCAATTGAAATATAAAATATACGTCTGGGCTCTATATGCCTGAAGGCGTGTAAAAAAAAGAATCTTTACCTTTCAGACATCATCATTTTGCCACACACTAATTTAGTCAATTATCAAACCAGAGGGCACAATAACTTTTTAGACACACACACATATAACACAATACGTTGGCACGTCGCACCTTCAAACGGCTGCCAACACACTGATGTGGCACAACACATTGATGTGTCGCAACATACTGATGTGTCACAACACACTGATGTGTCACAGCACACTGATGTGTCACAACACACTGATGTGTCACAACACACTGATGTGTCACAGCACACTGATGTGTCACAGCACACTGATGTGTCACAACACACTGATGTGCCACAACACACAGATTTGTCACAATACACTGATTTGTCACAACACACCGATGTGTCACAACACAGTGATGTGTCACAACACACTGATGTGTCACAACACACTGATGTGCCACAACACACTGATTTGTCACAACACACTGATTTGTCACAACACAATGATGTGTCACACAACACTGATGTGTCACAACACACTGATGTGTCACAACACACTGATTTGTCACAGCATACTGATGTGTCACAACACACTGATTTGTCACAACACACTGATGTGTCACAACCCACTGATGTGTCACAACACACAGTTTAGAAATGTTATCTCTATCGACATCACTGCCCATTTCTAATTTCTATCCGTGCTCAGTCCTCGGATGCAGCAGCCACTCCAAGGTACCTCTGCTGTTCCCACCAGTCATTGCCTTTAAGGTATCCTTTCTCGACTTCGTAGGCACGTAGACGCGCTTCACCATGCCTTACTCCCACGTCACTTAATCTTGTTAGTGTCAGAGATTGGACATTACCTGCTAGCCAAGTCAGTACACAGTTTAGAAAGTTTTGAGGTTTTGAACAACGGATCAACATAATGGCACACGCGTAGTAACCCTTAAGTGCTCTGTTCTTCTTCTAACTCAAGTCTGAGTCCGACGATGTTCAGCACAGTGTACAGGCTCTGCAGCACCAGCGAGGATCCCTAAATACTTTAAGTAGATTTTTAACTCCAAATTTTTTCCTGGACAGCGCCGCTAAGCTGTTTCGATTTCCAACTGCTCAGGGATTTTTTTTCGTGCGCAACAATGCACACGGGTGTCCGATCTCACTACCCAGACACCAGGGGGAAATTGCTAGAAGTCCAAGTCCACATAAAAAAATCCCAGCCCTTACAAGGGATTGAACCCAGAACCTCAAGCACTCGGGCGGACACCATGCCTCGAGACCACGCAGCTCCCAAATACAGTTAAGAAAGCTCTGATCTACATATGTATAGCTCTAGCACTATTTCCCCCTTTCACCAAAGGCGAACAGGGTCCTTTACTTTGCTATTGTTTGTTTATTTTTTGCAGTTGTCGTTGGTAAGTTCATGTTTGGGAGGCAGACACCGTCAGCCAAGTGGCCTTATGTTTGTGAGATCAGTTTAAACGAAGCATACAGAATCCTTCAGCAAGAGAGAGACCATAGTGAGTATTCATCTTCTACTCTTTCTTCATTGTCTGAACTTATTTCCGGGATGTGTTGGTGTGTTAAAAATGAACATACGGACAGACTGGCTGGCTCTGCACAACCTGGTGTAATATTGACGCATGATAAGGCGTGGTTAAGGTCTTATAAGAGCACGGGAACAGTTGGAAGAAGCGAATGGATCATCACAGCAATAAGAGAGTGATTCAGCGAGGAGTGACGAGGGGTTCTGGTCGTTACAAGACGCTCACAGGAAAAGCTGAACGCAAAATGATCAGATCTTTTCTGATACTATTGGTATTTGTACTCTGCGTTTGCTGCTGACGATGGGATGGAGCGCTTATGAGAATGTTCCGAGTGCTATGGTGCCAGTGCATGAATTAACTCAGCTCATTTCTTTTTTCTTAGTCCATCGAAGTCATGTAAGTAAAGGACCTATTTCGTGCCACTGTCGAATATGACATAAAGGACCAAATGTTTTTACAGTCCCTGTATGTCGTCATTATCATCATCATCGTCAGTTTACACCTTTACCGTTAAGCGTCTTTGTGGAGGAATAGTTTTGAGGTATCCATGTATGTTAAGGGTTAAAGTCAGGAGGATTGACGTTACTGAATTGGTTTGTATCCCATATAGCTCAGTCTCTCTCCACAGAAGAAGAGCATAAGACAAAACACGAACGCCTCAGCGCCGGCGACGATCACAGTGATCTCTGTAAAAGTTGCAATCGTAAACAGAACGACACTGCTCTGAAACAAACACACTACCTCAGGGAGCCAGACAAACCACTGAGCCCTTCGTCATTTTGTTTTTAATTTGCTTTGATGACGCGATTGTAAACAGTAAATGCCTTTGCGTGTAGAGTAAGTTAATATATAAATGTTGAATGTTGCATTAAGAATCAACATCACAGAACTAGGGTCACTTCCATAAGTGCTACTCCTGTTTTTTTTTTTTATTTTTATTTTTTTATTTCCAACTGCCAAAGGATATTTTAGGTGCGCAACAATTCACACCGATGTTGGTTCTCACTCCTTATGTGATTTACACATATGGTACTATGAACGTTGTTTTTGGATATGAATCGACACTAAATGTAATTGAAGAGGTCAACATCAAACGCACCGCACTTGTTTTCCCAGGACAAATCATTGAACCTATTTCTTCTTTCTTCTTCACGATCACGGGCTGTAAGTTCTGACTGTCTGACCATCTAAAGACGTTAGTCTTACTATGAGGCTGAATTGTTGCGTGCACAGCCGTTTTACAGATCTGGCTTATATGTAAGCAGACTACGTTTTAGGGAGATGTACTCCGACCTCAAAGGATGTTCCCACTAAGTCGACTTCAACGACATGCTTGTTGGGGAGGCAGTGGGGCTATTGTTTTCCCGCAGGCATCCACACGGAGAATGGGACCTACCTGTACTCATTCACAAAGTATTATCCCAAAAGGCTTCAGGTTACTATTGGCCGTTGTTTAAATATAATGGAAGGCATAGTAAATGCTTAACATTTACTTGCCAAAACAGCTCTCACATGGACACCAGAGGGAAAAGAGAAAACAGGGGCGCCCAAAAACAACATGGAGACGAACGATGGAAAGTGACCTGAGTGCGGCATCTTTGACAACGAAAACTGCACTGAAGATTGCACAGGACAATAAAGCATGGAAAGTCCTCTCTGAAGCCTCATGTGTCACTAGCCATAACGAAAACTGATGATGATGATAACCCTATGATAGACCTTTACAAACAGTTTTACGGACACAGTAGCTCAATTGTGGAACTATCTGCCACAGCATATCAAAAGTACCACTAGTCCCTATACATGCAATTGGAAACTGTTAGAATATTATGTGAGCACAAATTACATGCTCCCATAGAAGATTCATACAGATATTTTAGAAATGTCGCCCACTTTTTCCAGATCTATTAAAACTGCACTCCGACTTATGGATGTTAGAAAGTCCAGTGCTTGACATTGCTTGTTGGGGATGATATTGGGCTGTTTATTTTCCCGTAATGTCTAAATGAAGTGACAAACGGTATTTTAGAACAGAGTGAAGGAGCTGCAGGGGCTGAATGTTAGACATCCCTGCGTGCCCATGATCTCTTAGCCTCGGAAAATATCATGATTGTGTGTTCGTTCGTTTGTTCATGTGTCGGCCCAGGAGTTGGAGGTCTGTTGTAGACATCCATACAGTTCTGATGATCGACTTCAATGCATCGGATGAATATCATGTATCTCTCTCTCTCTCTCTCTCTCTCTCTCTCTCTCTCTCTCTCTCTCTCTCTCTCTCTCTCTCTCTCTCTCGCTCTATCTCTCTTTCATCTTGCCATAAGCTTTGCAAAAAGCACGAACTCCGTAGCTTCAGTGTCGATCAACAAGCGATATTTAAAAACATGTACTCCGGAGTCGAATGAATCATCCATGAAACGAATCAACGACCTTCAAATCGCAAAGAAAACCGCTTGACCACTTCGCATTTGTCATAGGATAACACCTTTAAAACAAAAATAATATTAATAATGTTCGACCGATGTGAGTCAGTTTGCACTTATATGTAAATTGACAAATGCAATTGGATTTGGCGTACAACAATACTGGTTCTTTGATGCGTGGGGTAGAAATGAGAAAACAAGGAAAGTTTATCGTAGGTTTAGTTTAGTTGCGTATCCTCTACAGGACGTTGCAGAACCAACCCCAGCAGCCCCTGTCTTTTGTGTGGTTTCTCTAGTCAAATTTACATCCAGTAGTTTGCCATTGCTTCTGGATGGTCGGCCCCCTGATACCTCTATCGAAACCAATGCAAAGCGCATGGCCCGCAGCTGGGATCGGACACGGCACCCCGGCATTACAAAGCGTTCGCATCGACTTAGCCAGAGAGCCGACGTTTTTGGTAGACCTGCATCAAATGTGACCATAATACAAACTTGTGTTCATTCTATTTTTCAGCTTGATTAAAGCCTTTGCCATTCTGAATTAAAGATGTTAATATAGGCAAACAATTCTCGTTGCAGTGTTTGGAACTGACATTATGGATCCCAACAATGTAGTTCTTGGTCCTAAATTCATTACACAGCCAAGGTCTATTGTTGTATTACCACCGCTTGCCACGGCCTTTGTTGAATGTGTAGCAAACAGGTAAGATAAAGCTCTGAATGTACATAAATGTTAGTTTACTTATCATCTTCTTAATCTTCTTTGTCTGGCTTCGCCGCATGGGTGACCAGCAGAGGTCATGGGTGTTCAATATACATGCTCAGCATAGGTAATAAATACTAACAAAAGGTCATAGCTGCTCAACATAGGTCATATGTGCTATTGATAGGTCATATGTGGTAATGATAGGTCATAAGTGGTAATCATAGGTCATCAGTGCTAAACATAGGTCATAGGTGTGCTCAGCATATGTCTAGGGATTCAATATAGGTCAACTGTGCTTAATTTAGGTCATGAGTGCTAAATATAGGTCATGGGTGCTCAATATAGGTCATGAGTGATCAGCATAGGTCATGGTTGCTCAATATAGGTCATGGGTGCTTAGTTTATTTCATAAGTGCTCAGTATAGGTCATAAGTGTTCATCATAGGTCACATGTGCTCCTCCTAGGTAACAGGTGCTCAATCTTTGCCACTGGTGCTTGGCAAATGCCACTGGTGTGTATCATAAGTCACATGTGCTCATGTAGGCCCTTGTTGCTCAGCGTTGGTCACGGGTACTCAAAATAGGACAACAAAAGTGCCTAATAAAGGTGACAGGAGCTCAGTGTGTGTCACAGATGCCCAGTATGGATCAGCATAGTTGCGTCGGGAGGTTCCACTCAACTGCATGTGATTTCATCGCATGCAGCTCAGTCTCACTCCGCCTATCAGCTAGCCAACTGTCGGAAGCGCCACATATTCTACGTTCTCCGCGACTGCAGTGACGACGCCTTGGATCTTAATTAGAACTGCGGCCTTGAAATGAACGGCGCAGTCTGTGAAATAAAGAGACAGATGCTAGTAATAGTATTCTTTGCCCTCTAAAATCTGCATTAGAAGTCTGTGGTTAAGCACCAGCAAAGAAATCACAATTAACATTCTTAGAGGACGCATCTTCCATGTAGCAACATACAGATGGGACTATCTACTAGTCCTGGAGAAAGAAAATGGGGACATTTGAGCTTAAATATTATAGAAAGATTGTCCCAGTACCAAAGGAAAAAAAGCAAGAAGATATACTTACATGTTAACAGATCGTAACATCAAGGAAGACTGGCTAACAAACAGCATCTTGCCTCAAAAGCTGAAATATTCATGTCACATCAAGCGCCATGGCGGATTAAAAAAAAAAAAAAAATAATAATAGCTGCAGGCATGATGCCAGGAAGGAGGGGCAGGGGCCGACCACGATGAAGATGGGTGCAGGATATAAGTGACTCCTTGATTATGAAAGTACACGAGAGGCCCACTTTTTTTCACGCAGACCGTGATGAGAGCGACGTTTTGCAAAGGACCTGCTACATGACGGGGATCATGCTGACTCTCTAAAATACTGTATAGAATAGCAAAGTGATACTAGTGAGGGCCGGGTATAATATTAAAGTATGTGCAGCACTGCACAGACCATGGCCTGATCATGCAACATTATCCTCTGCTTGGTCTGCCTTGTTTGGTCCAAATCAAAGGTAACACCAAATGTTGAATGTTACATTAAGAATCAATATCACAGCACCTGGGATGCCCACATAAGTGCTCCGTCCAAATCTTCAGTAGCAAGCGAAGAGTTCCAATTCCGATTTCACCAGTAACCGTCTCAATGTATATCCGTGTCGCCTTTCCCCTGAGTGTTGAGCGCCGGCCAGGTCCAATTGTAACTCCTCGCAGCGCCATTCTCCCCAGACTGTAATTATCTATTTGTGCATCCGCACTTGTCAATCGCCCCCAAAAAATCCTCACAATATCCAGCTTGTCGTACATCGGGTCACCACCAAGACCTTCAGAACCGGCCACACTTTCTGCCTGCTCATTTCCCAACACACCGATAAGGTAACACCAACACTTTGGCAAAAATCATGCTGGGTAAGCTGGGTCCAGAAGAACAACGTTCAGTCTGTACGCGTGTCGGAGCTTGCCGCCCAGACCAGCTGCCGACTGAGGGTAAGGGCTGGGTCCTATAATGAGTTTGGTATCAACGCCAATGTTCTCCTGCGCCAAATCCATTGTCACAAGAAGGATGCCAGGTCTCGTACATGTAGCCGAACATTTGGCATTTCCCTGCATGCTACGTCCTCATCTTCAGCAGCCAGTGCAGAGTTCCAGTACCGATGGTACTGGTCACAATTTGGTTATGTCCGTCTTGCCTTTCCTCTGAGTGTAGTGAGCTGGCCAGACCCTCTGGTTACACCCAGGTGCCTCATTCTCTCCAGGCCATGATAATCTTTTTTCTCTACTGATTTCGTTGCTTGTTCCCAAAGGGCCTTGACCACATCTGCCTTGTCATTTATCAATTTACCACCCAGTCTTGTAGATCCAGCCAGTCTGTCTGCCTGTTCATTACTCACCATGCTGGCATTGCCTGCTGAAAAGATCTAAAGTATTCTCACTACCGTGATCATTCCAGTGAAGCTTGCCACTCTGCTCGAAGCAACCCTGTCTTCACATTTCTCAGCATTCTTTCAGAGTCTGTTACAGTTACGACATGTGTATGCATCTTGTTCTCTAGCCACCGGAGAGCTGCAGTTACCGCCTACACCTCCATTCTCTTGTTAGACGTTGTGGTGTCACATGTTAGGCTGTCTTGAACTAAAGATTTTCTATTTGCTTTAGCTACGAACCCCCAGGAACTTCTCTTTGCTCTCAACGCCGAACCATCTGTGTAGACAATCAGATCAGGCAGGCGTGAATTGAGAATCAACTGTTCGACTTCCACCTCCGTAGCACCCGCTGGCCACTGTCTGCACAACGCGCCCAATGTGATTATAACCCTACACAGGTCAGACTGTAAGGGCATTGATAGAGAACGGGTAGTACTGAGTACGGCTATTGGTAGTTTGGTTATAATGAGTGATCCCTAAACAAAGGATAAACCTATAAAGACAAGTTTTGGGGTACTCCGCAGCTCAATTGTGGTATTATCCTTCCCAATAAATCAAAATAACACTAATACCCACTGTCAGGGTTCGCCCTGCTATGGGACAGTTCAGGATGATGATGATGAATATCGTCATCGTACCCTGCGACCCTTAGTGACACTCAATACGTGCATACACACGTAGAAACGAGCATGAGCGGACTTCGCACGGGTGTGCACATTTTGGACCGGACGCTGAACGCGCTTGCTTGGGGGACTGCTAGGAAACTGGACGTGGGACGAGAGTGGATTTTTGACTGACCGTTTGTTTTTGACATGAAGATAGGTACCAGCGTAGTGATTAGATGTAACGTGTTCTGTTCATAGTTTCATGTAAAGTAATAGTTGTAACTAGAAGCCAGACCATGCTTTGCTGGTGGCGTTAACACTGTCGACGCACTTAGGCCTACACATTGGCGCATGCCATAACGTCTTTGGCATCGAGATATAGCGGGTTGAGCTGGCACTGTACGGGAGAGTGGTAGCGGCTCAGAGCTTAGTTCATAAACGTGTAAAGGCGCCTCTAAGCGATTTTAAAGTTAGACGCGGCCTGGGTTTTGAATAAGGAGCGCTACTCCTCCTGAGGTGTACCACCACTTCGTTTGCATCTTTGGTAATAAAGATTGTGTGTGTGTTGCAACAAGTGTTTGGCTTGAGTGTGTTTGTACGGTGTTTTTTCCTGTCATTAGCCTATAGCAGAGCCAATGGAATCGAGCCCTAGACAGTTAGGTTTCTGACAGGAAAGTGGGGAGCTCTTACCGTGGATTTTGTGGGAACCCAACGTGCTTAGTCAATAGCTGATAGGAAAGGTTAGGTATTTGTTTTTCCGTAAATATTTTTGATAGGTAAAATGGGAATTTATTGTTAGTCCGTCTACATGTTTGTTGTTTAACATGACTGTATGTGATTAGAGGTAATAACTGTATGTGTTAGGATTGTGTCGTGACGACGGATAGGGATTTAGGACGACATAGACAGATAGACATAGTGTGATTGTTTTACAAGTTGCGGTGTGCAAGTCCAAGAAGTCATCGAGGCCTGTCGTCCTCGCCATCATCAAGTGTGTCATCAACATCCACGTGTTCTTTGGCGGCCATGTCTCCCAGACTGGAGTGCAGATAAGTTTTTGTTGTTTTGATTTTGGTGTTTGTGTCCTGGTCAGTTCTCCAGTCCGTGAGATTCCTTCTCGATCTAGTTGGTTGATCGGCGCCGTTCATTATCTATCGTTCTTGGCTATCTTTTCTCATTAGTCCTATTGTTGTTTTTGTGTTTTGGAAAAAAAAAATTTTTTTTTGTCGCACACACATCAGTCATTTTCCATCATCTACAATTGTAAGAAGTATTCTTCGGATTCCTGATCCAATATTTTTCGAACTGTCTACATCCAAATTGCTTAACAATTGTTGTCGTATTACTGTGATGATGTGATTTGTGATATTCTTTATTGAGTATTACACTGTAAATTTATGTTCAGTTCTCGGATTAATTCGAGATTACATTTATAGGTCCGGTTTTAGTTCGGATAATCGCGATTATTATTTTCTCCCTTCCCAGTAGGTATAGTGCGGGTAGTTCGTGATTGTATTTATATACGTTATTTTGTTTTGGTTTAATTGTTGACTTGCAACGGTTACATTGTTCAATATGCCAAGAAGGTACATAGAAAAGGGTCCACTAGTGACATGTGTCCACTGTAAAAGGGAACATGGTAGATGGCAATGGTGTGATGAAAATCCTGAATTTGCACAACATGTTCAAAAGATAATAAAGAGAAAAACTCAAAATTTGAAAAAGAGAAGATCTGAAAGAGATATACCATCCCATCCATGTGACCAACCAGAAGATCAATGTAAGAGTAGAAAGTATGAACATAAAATAGACAAGGGAAAGATAATAATTTGTCCCTACTGCAAGAAACACCATGGAGCATTTCAGATGTGTGATGCTAGCCCATTATATGGGGCCTATTTAAAGGAACATAGGAACAGAAAGCAGAATGATAAGAATAGTAATACTCCT